GCAGGTATATGGAACCACTACACTAGCAGCTTGTAGTGGTTTGAAATGTACCACTTTTCCATCAGTTTCCTTGTCAGGAAACAACTTCCTGTTCAGCTGAAATGCCTCACTCCACTGCCTCGGGTTTCAGTGGAGTACGTGAGAGCGTTTCAGTAATAATGTCCCTTACGGCACCTCATATTGCTGAACCTGTATTCACATGTATGTCTGAGCTGTGTATGGGCTTGAACAGCTGCATCTACTGACATAATGAGGTATAACCTCAGTAAGCAACATATAATAATGTATACTTTATTGATCCCTGTGGGGAAATTTGAAAAAAAAGTAAAATTCACAAGTTGTTTTTATTTTATTATATTCTGTGCACAGTTAGAGGTAACACACTGAGATACTATCATGGCCTCTGCCAAGCAATAAATTAACCGAATTTCCGTTCAATACTGCCACGTACTGGTGAAGGGTCAAAATCTGACTGGGCAGATGAGAGGGGAGAGAGCACAGGAGGCTGTCCATGATGGATATTTGTTTTTCCTGTATGCGTTATGGTCGCTGACCTCTAGGAGCTCTCCCTGTGTGAGAGCTTATTTTAAAGTTTAATGTTTATATATCAAACTGGCTCTTAACTGTGTGTGGAGAGATTCAGTGTTTTGTTTTACATGTTTTAAATCTTTCCAGTTCAGTTGTGGTTTACTGAAATCTAAAGTCAAATCATTAACTGTACGCTCTGTGTTTCTTTTAGATTCAGGTAAAGACTTGGAAATAGCAACATCAACAACAGTGAAGTTCACCACAAGAAAATCAGCAACAGAACCAACAAACATATGGACAACAAAAGAAGAAGTAAAGACATCAGAGGGGACACTGACACCAAATAATCAACCACAGGGTAGAGACTGAATCTGTCTTCTTTTAATGTCAGACTGAGTCTTGTCTGTGTGTGGACAGACCGTTCTCACTCCCCAGGCAAGTTCAAGTTCAAGTTCAAGGTTCTTTATTTGTCACATGCATAGTTATACAAGTATAACACACAGTGAAATGTAGCCTGACACGCTCCTCG